CGCCCCGCCCCCGCCGCCCCCATGCACACCCCCGGCGCGGCAGGAGGCCGAGCGAGGCGGGCCCAGTCGCGTCACGCCAGTGATACCCGCGTGACGGTGGCCGCGCGCTCCGCCAAGTGACGTCACACGCCCGCGCGGGGGAAAGGCGCCAGGTCGCCGTCGTCGTCGTTTGTTGTCGCGCTCTCACTGCTCGGCCCCGCGGTCAAGGGAGGTCGTCGTGATGGTTGCCGCCGTCACGTCAAGATGGTGACCCACTCGGCGTCCTCCGGGTCATCGTGCGTCGTCGCCCGCTCCGCCCGGTCGGATAACCTTGCAGGTAACGATACATCGCGCTCGGGCAAAGGGTCGTGGCGGGGGCGGGCCGGGGGAAGTGGCGCACCAAAGCCCGCGAACGGACTGTCCGTGGCATACTATCCATGCTGGCGCCACAGGACGTTCGAGCGAGGGTTTGGGAACCGAATTTAACAACTTCTTGTACGATACTAGAATAAAAGGTTCATAGTTGTTCCGAGGGTAGGCCCGAGCGCGCGGAGCCCGAGTGGAGGGCAAGTGGAGGAGTGGTGGTGGTGGGGTGTCGGCAGCGGCAGCGGCCCCTGCGGTCCGGCGCCTAGGCCACCCACTTCGCACCCGCGCTGGGCGGGCGGCCCGGGCGGCCCCACGGGCGGCGTGAGGCGCGAGGCGCGACCAGGCCGCGACCCCTCCGCCTCCGCTCCGCCAGCTGCCGTTTTCTCATTCATTCGCGGTTCCCTCGGTGGCCCCCCTGCCCCGGCGGCGACAGCCTGTCTCTTGGGATACTCAGTCGGCCGCCAACAATACGGGCCGTGGCGCGGTGCCAGCTGCGCCCGCTGCTGCTGCGCCAGCCCGGGCCACGCCACCTGCAGCTGCAGCAGTTACGTGTTGCTGCCGAAGGGGCCCCACCACCACGCCGCCCACGCGCGGTGACATGGCGCGGCTGCAGCTGCCGCAGCGGCAGGCGCGCGACGGCGGCGGCCGCCCGCTCAGGTGGGGGGAAGCACACACCACCCGCAACACCTGCTGCCGCGTTGTGTCCCGCGAGCAGGAGAGGTGGCGTAAGGCAGGGGGCGTCCCGAGTTCGAGCGTAGGACGAATAAAACGACAAACAAAATTTGATGAGTATCCTGCCTGAAATAGCCGCACGGCGTGTGGCGGGGCGGATCCGCTGCCGGCCGACCGGGACATGTAAACACCCGCATTGGGGGGCGCGCCAGCCAGACCGCCGTGACACAGTTTGGCGGCGCGGCCGCGGGTACAGTCGCGTACAGTCGCGCAAACGAGCCGCGGCGCGGGCGGCGAGAGCCATCATACATCAAATCGATAGGCTTACCGCCGCCTCGATGGGGAAATAATAATAATGTTTCAGCCTGCTGCTGCGTCTCTATTGGGGGGCGTCGCTCGTGCCGGCGTGAGACTTATCGCCAGCGACCCCGTCTTT